GTTGATGTTTTCAAGGTCTATAGTTTACTTATTTTCTGGGTGTGGGATGGGGTAGTGAATGTTGTGGTTTTGTTTTTAAAGTGTTGTCTTTGTCTAGTTTCCCCCCTTTCCCTTGTCTATTGTGAGCCGCCCGGAGTCCTTCGGGAGTGGGCGGCATACAAGACAAATAAAATAAATAATAATAAATAGTGATAGTTCTGTCACAAAATTAGTTTTTAGGCCCATTCTTGCTTAGCTTCTTTCTCCAGGCATGTTCCATCACATATGCCCATTACACAGTATTTTTCACAAGACTGATATAAATGCATATAACAAGCTTTGGCCTGTTAGCCTTTCGATGATTCTTTTGATTCTGAACCAATACATTTTGTAAGACAGCTGGATTGTCATCAATTCTGGTAGGAGAAGTATCTTCCACCAAGTCGTTTGGGATAAGTCATCCTGCTGTTCTTTGTGATATCTATAATCAACTTTGAATGTATATATTGTGACAAAAGAACTGCCACAAGAATTCACAGTGTCTGTTTTTCAGAAGTGTAGTTTTCAGACATCAGCACTTTCATTCAGGTTTACAGGCTTGGAAAAAACCCTGTCCTGCCCAATATGAGGACTTTAAGTTAAAAAAAGTTTTATGCTTTGGCAAAATAAAGTATTTTCAGAACCTTGGAAAGCTCCACACAGGAAGCTCAAAACTCAGTTAAATCTGAGATGATGACAGGACTACATTTTCACAGGGGAAATCATATTGAGGCAGGGGTAAAATTCAGCAGGTTTGACAAGTTCTGGAGAACTGGTAGCAGAAATTTTGAGTAGTTCAGAGAACCGGCAAATACCACCTCTGGCTGGCCCTACCCCCATCTATTCCTGCCTTCCATGTCCCAGCTGATTGGGGTGGAATGGGGGGTTTTGCAGTAACCTTTCCCTGGAATGCGGAGGGAATGGAGATTTTGTTGTATCCTTCCCTTGCGACGCCTACCAAGCCACGCCCAAAGAACCGGTAGTAAAAAAAATTGAATTTCATCAGTGTATTGAGACTTTGCTTCAGTCATGCTAAACTAGTTCATCATACTCTGAATCCTTACCCTTGTGGGAATATGACAACTGTGAGGGAATTCTGCAAGTTGAGTTTTAAGTATCTGGAAAATATACGATTTGGGGAAGGCTGTTTTACTTGAGTCTATCAAAAATATCTGAAAGGAGTAAACAATGTACATGTTGTTGCATGACATTTTGATAATCCTTATAAATATATTTTCCAACTGCGTATTTTGTACTTTAAAATGGGTTATTTCAGCTCAGATATGTTTAAGACTATGGCATCTAATAAATCATATTAAAGTAAGCTCTTTTTTAAAAAAAAATCTTGCTTAGTGCAATTATTGTCCATGCTTACCTCTACTCTACTCTTAATGTAAAACAATTTGTTGAGATTTGTATATTTAATGCTGTTAGAAATACCTTTACCCTTTCCATTTAAAAGAGGTAGTTCATGATAGAAATGAAGCAAATATTAATAAAATAATTAGAGAACTTTACAAAAAGTAGTGTTTATCCTATGTGATAGTTTAATTCTTTATATTAATCAACCATTCTTTGAAAATAATAGAAGAGAATTATAAATGAAACATACATTTTCATTTCTGTTTTTATTGCAACACTTATAATACTTTTGAACTGATCACTTAGGAGTGAAAATTGCTGATCCAGTTCAATTCAATTTATCTTTTTATGTCATTATTTCAGGGAGAACCTGGTGTAATGGGAGAAAGAGGCTTCTCTGGGCTTAAGGTTAGTAGATAAAATTTTGGCTAGTTATTTTTCACACTCTATTTTTATACATGATCTTTTTTTGCAGTTCTTTTGAGGGACATTTTTTGGTAGCAGAATAGTTTGTGACATTACATTCATCAGTGGAGCTCATAGGGAGTAGAACAATAATCTTCAATAAACACATTCAGCAATTTGTTGTTATAAAATATATTTTACAAGAATAAATGGGCTATATTACAATATTCCTATGATTCTTCTGTACTACTATTGTGAGGTTGGGAGTGCCACGGCACTTCTAGGTTGAAAGGATTGAATGGTAACATTACCATTGTCTGGGAATGCCCAGCTGGAAGCTCTTTCATGTCCCTGTTAAGTTGTCCAGCGAAGTGGGTACCCATTGATCTACTTGCAGTCGCTTGCTTTCAAACTGCTGGGTCGGCAGGAGTTAGAGCATGTGTTGAGAGCTCACAGTAGCAACCGGGTCTCAGTCACGAGCCTGCTGATTGCAAACACAACATCCTAACCTTGGGAACCACTACACTCCCTAGATTCTTCTGTAGTCATATATGGTTTAAATAATGAACCTATAAAGATGTGTGTAGATGGTACACACATCTTTATAGAAGGTTGACCTTTGATGATAAGGATTATTCATTTTCCTAGCTCTCCACCCAAAGATGTCTTTTGCAAAATTTAAGTATTTCCATATACACTAACTGGTTTTGTGATATTGAGTGAAATATGGATAAATGAGATTTAAGTCAGTTTCTTTGAAGTCATATTTTGATCATGATTAGCAGTACAATTGTCCCTCTCAGTTTTCAGTCAAAAAAGATCTCAGGAATCAGAATTGAAAAGGATGCCCAGATCTTAACCAGGAAGAGCGGCTTATAGTCAAAATACTAGTCTACATGGACAGAGAATATGCATTGGTGCAAAACAGATATATATGTCCTAGCCTTATTAATTGCCAAAGGCCCTAAGTTACACATGGTGGTTGGTTTTTTTAAAGCTGTTAGAAGAGATTTCTCTAACTGAAGAAGTATGTATTTGAAACGTTCTCCAAATCTCTTTATAAAGAAAAAGACGAACAAGAAGGGCCTTAAAGTTTCTTTAAAAGTTGCACCTGGCAAATAGAGTAGTCACACAGATTGCACAGTAATAGTTGCAAACTTCCATACTATAGTGATGTTTAAGTTTGGTAATAATTTGCAATTTGTAGTTTGGTATACTATAGTGTTTAAGAAAATATGATTAATAATCATATAATTAATTCAATTTGTCAATTGGTGACAAATCTGCCTTCACAAAGCTATTGACTCATTCATTAAACATACAGGAGCAAAGTTTACAGAGCATCACGCATTCTTTAAGTATAGTGGTGAATCAATTCAGTCTGATCAAATGAAAAAATGACACTAGATATCTCAGTTCTATCACTATTATGTAAATGCTCTTAAGTGTAGTCTACATTCTTGGATTACATTGGCCATGCTAATGTGTTTTTAACATGCAATCCTAGGTCACAACAGAATTTGGATCTCATATGAATGAGGCAAGACGAAAATCATCATCTATGTCCTTTATATATAACGAAAGAGCAGAGGCCTTTCGGGAGCACTCATTTATCACATTAGAATTTCACTGATTACAGTTAATAGCTAATTAGTTTCTCTATTGTTACATTTTAAAAATGCAAGAAACCAATAATCAGATAAGTTTGAATGAACTATGTAGAGCCAAAGTTCAAATATAATCAGAGTATTTAAAGATCTGTAAGCAGTCATTAATATAAGAGCAAATTCATTTTGATAAGAGTCTGAGAATACAACTGCAAGATACTAACAAGTCAAAACAAAGCCATTAGTTATTCAAGATTATAGTTTCCCATCATATAGGAGAAGGAGTAGCAGAACAAGGGAAAGGAATTAAAAGAGCAATAAGGCTAGATTCTCTATCTCAGCAGTTCCCAACTTTTCAGGCTTGGTGGCCCAGTGGGGGGGGGGAGAGGGGAGGGGATAGTTCCCTGAAAGTGGCAGGTGGGCGTGCTCAGCTCTATTTGTGTGAGTAGCATGCGTGCGTGTATGCATGCATGCGTGCCCGCAGCTCACACAAAGGGAGATTCACCTGCAAGGGCAAGCAGCCGCTGCTCAACAAGGAAAACTTCACATGCATGCACTCAGCCACCACTTGCAAGCTTCCAAACAGACTACGGCCTGGGGGTTGGGGACCCCTGCTCTATACTAAGTAAGCTGCACATGACTAAAAATTTCTCTAACCAATTAAAAAGTATAACTTGCATAAAAATATATTACAATAATATAGCCCAAATATAAGACAGTGTATCTTATTTCTATTAAATCAATGGCAACATTACTATTTTTATTCTTACCTTTACATTTATTAAATAGGTGCAATGGTCATAGATAAAAATCTGACAGAGCTCCATAAATATCCTTGGAGAACAATAAATGCATTATTTCTGTCCTATTTCAATTAGGGTGATCCTGGACATCGGGGAGAAAAGGTAATATATATACTTATTTATTCATACAAACAAATAATTTCAAAATTGAATTGTGAAGTGTTCAGCAACTTTTCTTATATTTCATTTTATGCAAGAACTTAGAAAATCAGCATCCAGATCAATATTATGTATTCATAAAGTGCTGTAAAAATTATAGAAAATCAGATTTTTCATTTTGAAAGATTGTAGGTCACATTGTAAATGGAAGTATTGAAACAAGGCATACAATTTGGGAAGAAAAGTGAACAAAAAAAGGAGCTTGAACTTTGCACAATTAAGCATTTAATTGTAATGGTCTATTCCATGATGGCAAACCTATGGCACGTGTGCCACAGGTGGCATGCAGAACCCTCTCTGCAGGTATGCGAGCTGTCACCTCAGCTCAGCTTCACTGCACATGCACGCACCTCTCAATGGCCAGCTGGTTTTCAGGTCCCTGCTGCACATGCATGGGGGGGCGGGGTGCATGCCCAAGGGTTGCGCACACATCCGTGGGGGCCATGGCATGTGTGTTGGGGTGAGTTGGGCACATCTGCAGGGGGAAGGGAACACATGGGGGGGATCGTGTGCACACATGCGGGGCCAGAGGACACGCAGGGAGATTACATGTGCATTCAAAAGTGGTTATGAATGCCTGCGTAGGGAACGAGGCAGTGGGGGTTGCATGCACATTGGCAAAGTGAAGGGTCATGAATGTATGCGCAGGGGCAGGCACATGGTGGGAGTCATACGTGCATTGCATTATGGGTGCACACATATGCACTTTTGGCACGCGGCGCCAAAAAGGTTAGCCATCATGGTCTGGCTGATGCTATTGAGGCTTAAAGTTTCAGGAGGTTGCCAGCTCAGCTTCTACATTCTTGTGAATTTATGAAATTCTGTAAAGAAAAATAATGTTGAAAAATTTTATCAGATTTTTTTTTCTGATAAAAAACAAGGTTTTATTATTTGTCAATAGAAAAAAAAATGAGATATGGGATGAAAAGAGGGATTTTTTGGAACATTAGAGAACATTCATTCATTCATTCATTCCTCCTTTCTCTTCCCATTCTTTCTCCTTTTTCACTCTCTATTTTTTCTTATTTATATTAGTCTTGGCTGTTTTTTATCTTTGTAATTTTAAATTTCAATAAATATCATTGTAAAAAAAATTAAGCAAAAATAAAGTTTGATGTGACAGGAAGACAGGCTTATAGCCAGGACAGACTTAGACTGAAATATTATTTGATTTTTCTAATATATCATTTCTTTTTTCCATTACTTTCAGTCTTTTGGTTCATTTCCTTGGCCTAGTTTTATAACTTTCTTCAAAACTCTCAATAGAAATAAATTGAGGAGGTTTTTAATAGGAAGCAACTGATGAATGAAAAAAAATATAAAATAACTTATTCTGATATTTAGGGTGATGCTGGAGAAAGTGGCCCCAAAGGTTATCCTGGAGAAAAGGTACAATTCATAGAGTATATTTAAATTCATGTTAAAAACAACAGAGATTAAAATCACAACAATTTAATAATAATTTTAATGATAAAATTTAATAAACTGTAATATATTCAGAATTATAATTTGTGGTTCCAATATATATTCATAAATGTTTATTTTTATAGTGTTTTCAAGGCATAGTCAAGAAACATTTGTTTTATCAATAGGAATCATTTGGTTTTGTTTTTAGTAACTATAACCTTGGTATCATCATATTGTTTGTGATGACTAATTAGACTGATGTCACCCATATAAATGTGGGTATTCATTATAATGTGTCTGAAAGGGGACAATTTATTAGGACTTTTTTTCCAAATGAGCTTTAGTTTCACTCTTTATTTCATAAAGCCTGATTCCTACTGTGAGAGCTTTTTTTAAAATATTTCTTCTGCAAAATGTCAGTAATTACCATGACATCTCCTGGCTTGTGGAATCTACTCTCCAGATTTCTTTGTATGTCTTGTTATTATATTTAAATATTTCTTGTAAAATTAGTAAGTCTGCTCTGAGCTTGAGGCAACTGTTTCAAACCGAAATGGGACATTCTGAGCTCAAAACAGTTTGAACACAAGACGTTTCCCACATTTCTTTTTCATTTCTCCTTCAGTCAACAATATAAAAAATTGAGGGGTTGGGGGAAATCCCTTAGATCATATAGCATGGCTGAAGCCTGCTTTGTGTAACTGTTGAGTCCAGAATTTTTTGCTTTGGCTTTCCTGGTTTTCTTATTCTGTTTCAGAAGACATATATGTGGACAGACATCGCATATTACTCATGAATTCTAGTTGGACTTCATTTATCTTTGGCTTGCATTTATAAAGCTTTCCTTCCCACACTTGAAATTCTCGGTTTTAACCAAATACACAGGAGATTCAAAGGTGAAACTTAGTAGGAATATATTGCCAATGCTCACATTCTCACATAGGACATATTCCACCATGTGAGCTGGTAAAGCTTTGTAAATGGTAGATGATTGAATAAGCTGTTCCTGCTCAACTAGAAACAGTTAAAGTAAGCATACATTGCCTCTATTCCTCCTTGACTTCATACCCATTAATTTTTATAAAACAATAAACCAAATGAAAATGTTTTTTTGGTGTCTTACGGGCCAAGACTTTATCAGTTCGTATTTGTATTTGAAAATCCCACAATATTTCAACCTGTTTATTTTTTTATTACTTTTTCAAATATATAGTATGTTCCCACCAGTATTTTTTTTATTACTGGCACATCTAAATTTTTTCATATGTTATTTTGGTGACTGTGTTATGTAACTGTTCATAATCAGTTTGTGCAATCTTTTTTGCACAAGTTTATGATCGATTACTCCTTCTGCTTTGCACAATTTGCATTTTGAATCATTGGGTGATTTTTTTCAACTCTGGCCTTGATTCCATTAGCTTGCTCTTGAGCAGCCAAAATCAAGCCTTCAGTTTTCAGTGTATAAGTCATTGCCAGGTTTTATTTTTATCCACTTTCCCTCAATCTTTTATAGAAATTGACCATGTAATACTTTTCCTTGCCTGCATTCTGTTCTGGTTTTTATTCTATTGGTTCAATATTCATGCTTTATTTCTTGCACGTCCAGTAAGTTCCAGTTTTTAATATCAGTGTTTGTTCTTGGCTGCCCTTTATGTAATCAGCCAATGCATGCTTTTCTTCTTCATTAGGTTTTTTTTGGTACTCTGTTAATTACTATTATTATTATCCAGGGTGATCCTGGATCTTCTGCTGCTGGAATTAAGGTAATGTGAATAACAAGAACCTTTTCACGTGTATGGCAAAATTTAATTTTCTGAATTTCCTTTCTTATCTTGAAGTTGATACCATCCTTTAATTTTAATCTTCTGCTTTATCATTTGTTTCTTTGTTTTAGGGTGAACCCGGACAATCGGGTAGACCAGGACAAAAGGTGATGTGTTCAAATAAATAATTTTGGCATCCTAGATGTGTTTGAACTCCGATTTCTCAGAAGTGTATTATATGAAAAATGACACTGTTCTTTTCAAGGAGCTGAAATTTTATTCAACTATATTAAATGGAAACATGTTTTAAGTAGCAGACATCAAGTAAGGAGTAGCTTCAAAGTACTGTATATACTTTGATTTGTGCAACATTTTCCTGCTATTAAAATAATGTAATATTCTATTGCAATGTGATATAATTGCAGGGTGAGCCTGGACTTCCTGGACTTCCTGGGTTACCTGGAATTAAGGTAAATATACATATATTATCTATACCAGTGCTGGCCAGGGGATTCTAGGAGTTGCTGTCCACCCTTCTTAGAAGTTTCTAAGGTTGACAAACATTAATCCATACAGTGTTATTATAAAAAAGGCACATATATAATTAATATGCAGTTTGGACCACTGTTAACATACCTGAAACCGTTTCTTCTGTAAATTAAGATCATCACTTCATATCAACCATACTTGGAGAAGTGAAGGGGTAGTTAAGTTTCTTGTTTTGTGCAAACTATAGCCAGTCAGTTACATACAGTCCTTTCCCCCATTTTTTACAATCTATAGAGATTTGACCATTGAAATTTAGCAGTGCAATTTTATGTTTTGCAGTTGGGGGAAAAAATGGGTTGAAAAATTGTATGTTCTTCAATTGAAAAAATTATCTTCACCCCTATAAACTTTTTAAAAGAACACTTTTACAAAAGGTGAAAAAGTAGATAGCATCATAGCAAGTTTTAGGGGGGGGGGGAGATTAATAAAAGCATGGTCTCAAGATATAAAATGAGCTGCTTAATATATACCACAGAAAACTTTTGCCAATACTAACAATAACAGATCGACATTCTTATCTTCCTTGTTTCCTCGTATTTGATGACAGAAAGTACATCTACTAATTCTACAGCAGAGGTGGGTTCCTCCTGGTATGGTACGATACACCAGAAGAGGTATTGAAAAATCTGGTGTACCGGATCAGACCGATAGTAATGGTGGTTTGGCCATGCCCCCGAATCTTTGTCAGAAGCTTTTTTTAAGCCCTTTTTCCCTGCCAGAAATGATCCCCCAATTCATTAAAAATATTTATCCTGGTAAATATGCCATACAACTTACTCTGCACCAATATATATTCTGTCTTGAATTGTTTAGGTTTGTTTTTGAGATAGGCATGACACCTGGCAAGAACATGGACATGTCCCTGTAGATTTATAGGCAATATTTTTTTAGAAATGATTTGCATTTGCTTTCTTTCTAAGACTAAGAGGAGCAATTGGCCCAGTTGACTTCCATGCCTAAAACAGGACTAGAAATCAGGTTTATGTGCTTCTGGTCCAGTGTTTTAATCAATGGACCAAACAAGCTGAGTTGGAAGTATCTATTTAGAATAGAATAGAATAGAATAGAATTTTTTATTTATTTTTATTTTTATAATAGAATTGGAATTTTTTAAGTGTGATTGAACACACAAGGAATTTGTCTTTGGTGCATATGCTCTCAGTATACATAAAAAGAAAAAAATACATTCATCATGAATCATAAGGTACAACACTTAATGATAGTCATAGGGTACAAATAAGCAATCAATTCATATTAGGAAACAATCAATATAAATCATAGGGATACAAGCAACAAAGTTACAGTCATAAAATCATAAGTAGGAGGAGATGTTGATAGGAATGATGAGAAGATTAATAGCAATAATAATGCAGACTTAGTAAATAGTTTGACAGTGTTCATGGAATTATTTGTTTAGTAGAGTGATGGCATTTGGGAAAAAGCTGTTCTTGTGTCTAGTTGTTCTGGTGTGGAGTGCTCAATAGTGTCATTTTGAGGGTAGGAATTGAAACAATTTATGTCCAGGATGTCAGGGGTCTGTAGATATTTTCACAGCCCTTCATCATAAAAGTTGAATAAAAATTGAATATTGATCCATCTGACTTTTGCTAATTTGAATATTGAGAGAATCATTGGTTTCTTTGAGAAGGAAAGCAGAGATAATATTTAATTTGTGAATAATATGAGCTTCATAGGCATTCTCTATTAAAAACTGAATCAGTAGGGCACTTGAAGAATATCTTCACTGTATTTGCCTGAGAAGAGGGTGATTTCTTTGGAAAAAATCCATACAATTACTCAGTAAAGAAATATAAAAACGCACCTGCCTGTATTCTTTGCTTTGGAAGATTAAGGCACCTTGGCCTCTGAATCCATAAAAGCACCTATCAAATCAGATTAAATATCTCTTTGTTTTCACTTTCCTGCTGCATTGCAGACAAATGCCTTATTGAAATGGAATTACTTGTTTACTTGCCTTCACACGCCATTAAGAACACTAATCTAGATGGAATCTCATTTACTTTCTGTTTTTTTAGTGAAGTACCTGATGACGGCACACAACTCAAAAACAACCATTTTTTTTAACAATATGTTTTTTATGTTGTGCAAAAGAGTGTAACAAGCTTTTTCAAAGAACAACCAAAAAAAGTCAGAGAATAGACAGAATGGCCAAGTCAATGTTACATGTTGAAGTTCTGCAAAATCATTTGCATAGCTGCTTTAGTAAAATATCAGTATGCTTTGAAACTATACTTATCCACTGTCATCTTTTATAATTAAATTTGGATGGGATAGTTGGAAAAAAGTGCAGACCGTAACTTTCTGATTCACAACAGCTCTGTCAAATAGTGCTGTATTTGATTAATATTATAGAACCAGTCAACCTGATGGGTAGATCCATGATAATAGCAAGATTCAGCTGAAGTAAGTAAGTAAAAAGAAATGTTCTTTATTGAAAAGAACACTCGGTATGTCTAGCTTACTACTAGCTTTACCTAGAGCTGCTAATAGGTAAATGCAAAACCTGCATCAAAAATTGTTTTCTTTGTTTCGCCTCCTCTGCTTGTAGGGTCCTTCTATCTTTAGTTTACTGTTTATGGGGCTTGTATGTGAGGCTAGTGTACAGTCAGTATCTTCTTGGGATTACAGCTCATATTTGAAGGACAAACGGAAATTGTGCACAAGTTCCTGGTCTTGGAAGATCTTCTCACAGTCACTCATGTTTTGGTTACCTCTCAATTGGATTATGAAAATGTGCTCTAAGCAGGGTTGCTCTTGAAAATCATTAGCAAGCTACAGCTGATCTTGAATGCAGCAGAACAGGCAGTGATGGGTATGTTGTGGCATTAGCATGTTTCCCCACTGCACTGGTTTCCATTTGGGCTCTGGGTGCAGTTCCAAGTTCTGTTAATCACTTAAGATACTATGCATTGCATAGGGCCTCATTATGTTTCTCCATATATTTCCACCTGCCTGGTCTTATCAACTCAAGGGGACATGCTCCAGATCTCTCATTTTGGTAGTGCCATGTTATAAAACTTAAGAGCCGTACTTAGAGTCACGCGTTTCTGGAGATCTGTATTGCTTTCATTTTTCTAACCTTTTGTAAACGGTTCAAAACCTGGATGTTTTTGCATACTAGCCCTGAGCAAGTATGGGGGTTGAGCCCCTTTGGTTGGTTATTGTATATTTGGCTTTTTTGGTTTGGGGTTTCTGATCATCTATTTTCTATTTCTTCTGGATATCTTTTGTTCCCTTTTAATTTATTACCTATACACTGATCAGAATTGCTATGGAATATCTCCACCTGAGTGACAAAAGCTTCCAATGGAGCTTCCAAATTAAACAAACAAATAAATAGGCAAGCCAACAAGCAAACTAAGGTAGAGGTATTGGTGGTTTCATAGTAATATGGTGATTCAGTGTGGCAACTTTGGTTATTGCTCTTGTATTCTTTCCACTATGATGTTTTTGTGGTGTACTAGAATTTAAAAAAAGCAGAGACATCACCCTGCCAGCAAAAGTGTATATAGTCAAGGCTATGGCATTTCCCCAATGCATGATTAAGTTTAAAAACAGATTTGGGCTAGCTGTATTTCAGCTAAATTTATCCAAACTCTAGCAGCAGATCTAATGTATAATAAGTAAACTACGAATGAAGGCAAATAAAGGTGTACCAAGATAATGATGATATATTTTAAAAACCCTCAACTTCTTATCAAATGGACTAGAGTAATATGATTATCTATCTTAATCTAGAAATGATGCCCAAGAACAGGTCCTCTGAATGGTTTACTTATTGTGAGAATGAATTTGAGTCGATCACAGGACCAGAGATTTACTCTTCCAAGCTTTCAGACTCATGTTCGAGCCCTTCTTCAGGGCACGTCTCTCTACTGGATTATGTGCTTTGTGCTGTTCTGTGAGTTGTGTTTATGTGGTGCCATTCTATTGGCTGATAGTGTGGTGATTTCCAGCCATTAATGCACCATCCTTGTCAATGGTGGGATTCAAAGAATTTAACAACTGGTTCTCTGCCCTAATGACTAGCTGGGTAGGCGTGGCTCAGGGGGGTCATGTGACTATGCGTGCATGGCCAACTCACCGTCACTCACGTCGATAGGTGCTTCACCTTAGCTATTACACTGTAATAAGGGTTAACTGGAGAGGCAGTTTCTGTAACAAGAGCAATGAAGATTAGGCTAGAAACAACACTAGGATGTTCCCTTCCTGCCTTCCTTACAGGATTAGCCCTGTAAAGTGGGAAAAAACAAAAGGAGATTTCTTCCAACAACCGGTTCTCCAGGCTGCTTAGAAAGTTAACAACCGGTTCTCCTGGATAGGTGCGAGCTGGCTGAATCCTACCAATGATCCTTGTGCTGCCAAGCCCTCAGCTCCTAAGAATCTGATAAGCTGGTAGTAAATCAGCATTCCTGTTAATTGTCAAGGGGCCTATTTCCCAGGCTTTAATCATTTCCCTGGATATCTTTGCACCTGCATGGCCAATTATCTTGGCAGCTTTGAATTAAATGAGTGTCCTTGTTAATTGCAATGTGAGGCCACCAATGAGTTTGGGTCTCCTTGTCTGACTGCTCGCTTGTGTTCTTGCAATCTGGTGGTTAGCTTCCTCTCTATTTGATCTACGTAGTCATAGGAGCAGTTCATGCAGGGGATCCAGTACATTGCAAGTATCTCCCATCTCCAAATTATCTTTACAATGCATAGTTTGTCCTCATATGGTAGACTCTGGGCAGTGTGTGATGCCTACTTGCAGATCTCGAAAGCTGCATTCTACTGCTTCCAAAATATTTTTGAAGTATGGCAGGGTGTACCATACAGTTGGTCTTTTACCTTCTTTTTTCTCCTTTGCTTTTGGCACAGGCATCTTGTAATGAATGCTTGTGAGTGTTCATGTACCTTTTATCCAGTTGTTTAGCTTTTTGAGAACCACACTGGGTTCTTAAACTTCCATATAGTGTTTTGGTGCAGCTCTTTTTCTGTGACAGTGGATGGTTAACTGTAAACCATTCAGAGGACCTGTTCTTTGGGATCATTTCTAAATTAACAGAGATAATCATATTACTTTAGTCCAAGGGTGTTCGAGCTTGATTTCATTGAGGGCCGCATCAGGGATATGTTTGACTTCAGGGGACCAGGGCGGCATGTCCATGGTGGGCATGGCTAGCTTGACATCACTCGTGTTGGGGGTCACCTGTGTGGCCCGGGCAGGTCTAGAGGGATCTACTTTTGCTAGTAATTTGTTTTGCTAGCACTCTGCCAGTGATAACGGAGCTCAGGGTGGGGAATGTGGCCCTCCTTGGCTCCATTTTCAGCTGTGACGGCCTCCTACAGTCCTCTGCTAGTGTGCATTTTCACTGGCAGAGGCACTGTGGGCTGGTCCTTCTCTGTTTCCAAGGTGGCCCCATGGGCCAGATCTAAGCACCCCGTGGGTCTGATCTGGCCCCCAGACCTTAAGTTGGACACCCCTGTTCTAGTCCATTTGATAAGAAGTTAAGGATTTTTAAATTATCATAGTAACCTGAAGAAAGATATTGATAGCTTGAATTGTACTTTTGGTTAAAAAAGAGAGCAACTGTTTCAATAGACTAAGGAATGAGGAGAGATGTTTGTTTATAGGTTTATTTATAGGTTTGTATTTATAGGTTTACATAAACATAAGTAGTATTTTATGGAAAGTTGGCATCAATGAGTATGGACAGCAGCAGAGGTTGAGATATGGAGAATGAATGAAAGTGGAACATGGGTGTGAGTTTTGATGTACTGGTATTTTGAGTGTGCATATTATGTTTCTAAGGTATCGACTGGCTCATGGTACTCTGAAACGGAAGACATTTTCAAAGGCTCACAGTACAAAGTAGTTTTGATCACACAATCCATTTTTATTTCTGATCCTTGAAATCATGATTAAACAGATTAGAGAACAAAGTAACCACTGAGTTGACTTTATGGTAGATTAAGTCTGTGAGTACTCAAGAAGTTTGAACCTATCAAATAAATTGCTGAAGGCTTCATTATTCCTTCCATAAAAATGATTGCTGTTTCCATTAATGATTAAAAAAACATTACAAGGATACATTTGAAAACCATTCACAGTTTCATATGTAATTTGCAGTGTATACCATAATTTCTTCCCTTTTGTTCTTTTTTTTTCAGTTTTATCTTTTTCAGGGATATGCCTGTATACCATGTCTGAATAGAGTTTTTTTTATTTCTAGCTGTTGAAAAACTGCCATTGTAGTCATGCAGAGGAAATCCTTTTCATATTAATTTTATTTATGCAATGCTGTGAACAGCAAGAGGACAGGTTTAATTTGTAATTATGTAGTTTAATATAAATTATGAAATCTCTTTTCTTAGTAATGCCAATGATTACATACAGTATATTACCAAACATTTATTTTAATTGAAAGGGAAATCTTCTTAAAACATATGTGGCAATGATTGTTTATTTTAACTTATAGATATACTATAGGCAAATGAAATTTCTAATTGCCTGGTATTTACATTAAAAACAATAAAATAAAACTAGGGCACTGATTAATTCAACAGGTTTGATGAGAATGTGCACCAGACATTACTAATATCTGCAGAAGAAAATCAGGATAAGCAGAAAAGGTCTTAGGGATACAAGAAAATCTAAAAGCTACAAAATTGGGGATTGGGGTTATGACAGTAGTGAAAATAAGATAAAAGACAAACTTCCTGGGGGAACAATATGGTAAGCGAGTAACAGGGATGGGAAGAGGGATGGGACTCCTAAACTTCTACTTTGGTTTCGTCTTCTCTCTAAGTGAGAATTCTTGAATGAACTTAATCAAAACAATTGACAAAAATGAGGGAAGGGCAATTCGAATTAAGAAAAGAAATTACAGGGACTACTTGGCTACTCTGAAGCTTTGAATGATGTACTAGTAAGAAACTCAGTTGGACCAGAAAGCTTTGGGGACAGTCATGTATGGTCTGTGTAACAATATACAACAGCTAACCATTGTTTGCTTCAGACAAGCAAGTTCATGAATAAAGTGTGTGCGGGAAAGCAGATAATAAACAAACATTTCTAATAGGCAGAAATATTGTTACATGAAACAACCAGGTGGTTATACTTGAAGAGAAGGTTTTGGAGAATAATAAATGATGGATTAGGAACCACAATGGATTCTACGCAATTTGAACTACTGAAGGCATCTGGCTGGAGTGCAAACAAGATCAATGAAACAGTAAACGTATGAGAGAATATCTTCTCAGCCCAGAGGGACTTGGGGAAAGCTTTAGAAAGATACCCACTCCTGATAACCTGAGAGAGAATGGAAACCGTTATAATTAACATTGATCACTTTTAAGTGGAAAGAGGGTGGTAGAAAAAGTTACACATCTAAATGTCCACAAACTTAGCTATATTGGCACAAGTAACCATATATTACTGCCATATTTCTATTCCTTCACACCTGTGAAGTCCTATATAGTAAATTCCCAGATATATTAGAAATCCTTGTCCAAATATGTTGTTGTTATGTGATTGTTGTACCTGTCCATAGTCTTATCAATGGAATATTATCAAATATTTAAACTGAAAGTGTGTTTTTAATATTTTGTAATTTGTGAATAATGTCTAAGGAGAATTATTTCTGTTTTTCAATAGTATTAACTTAATTAGATTTTTTTCCTACCATAAACTAACTTAATATTATAATGTATGTACTGTATGTATGTATCAGTGGTGGGTTGCAGGCAGTACGCCCCGGTATGGTGCTCCAGAGGGCTCGCCCGCCCACCCAAGCTCTTTACCAGTATTTCAGCTCTTTGGCGCTTCTGCGCATGAGCATAGAGTGTACGGCGCCTGCGCAATGCTCCACTGAACAGCTGGAGTGTCGCAGAGGCATCATGGAGGTAAGGAGGCATGTGTGCACTGCGCACATGTGCGCGTGCTACACGTGTGTCCGTGCGTGCTATGTGCATGCATGTGGGGGACGCTGGGCCCTGTTGCACCGTACCAGGTATGTATGTATGTATGTATGTATGTATGTATGTATGTATGTATGTATGTATGTATGTATGTATGTATGTATGTATCAGAGGTGAGTTGCTGCTGGTTCAGCCCAATTCGGCTGAACCGGTAGTAGCAGTGGTGGGAGGCTGCGCCCATCCACCCAGATGCTTCTGCGCACCTGTTAGCAACACACTACTGGTATCTATGCATGCATGTATGTATGTAGTATGTATGTATGTATATCAGGTTTTCATTTCATAAAGTCTTGTGCTATAAAAGCTTCTGGTTCACTTGCTTTTCTTAACTTATGTGGGGGTTTCCTCGAAGAATTCCTTACTGATAGAAATCAAATGTGATTAATTGTAGCTGTCCTTAGCTATTGGGTTACAGCTAGAAACGTGACTAGGGAAAACATATTTGCAAGAAAATCCATGTTTTCTATAATTATTCACAGTTAAATTAACAACGTTTTAATATGCTCATTTATTAAAAGGGTGAACCCGGTTTCCTAGGTCCACAGGGAGAACCTGGATTGCCAGGATTGCCAGGGACAAAGGTATGATTTACATTTTTTTCCTTATTACGCACAATTTGCTCTACATCAGATCAGAGCCTAATCGTTAGAATAGACATTTCCCTCCACAGCCATTAAAGTCTTACTAAAGGGAAAGTTTATCAGACTGAGATCACAACTCAACCCATTACAAAATGTGTAATGTGTGTAAAATAAATTAATTTAATTAAACTGCTGTCAACTCTATAGGAAATGATGTAACTGTGATTATTTTATATACGTTCTTAATTGTACAGCTGAGACTTCATCTCATTCTTCTTTTTATAAAGAGGATCAGCTTTGCCTAAAGCTGCTTTTATTCTGTGGAACCAATTTGAGCCATCAACACCTAATAAATGGACAATTAGTTATGGGGAAAAGTATCTGTTTTGCCTCTTTTTCCCACTTGTAATTATTCCTATTTTATCCATAAATGGTCAGGGATTATTTACTTCTGAAAAATCAAGAGGGAAAAAGGCATATACAATGGTACTATAATCTATTTACACTCCCCTCTCCTTAACAGGTTTGGTACTAATGTATGTATGGATCAATTACCAATTTATCATACTCTTTGATATTTCTTCTCTTTGATGTTTCAATAGCAACTCTCATCAATACCAAAAGTTATTGATGCTCTATGATGCTTCTGTGTGTATCTGCTATGATTTTTAACAGGGTGAAAGAGGAGAAATTGGACCTCCTGGGAAAGGTGAACGAGGTGAGCCTGGAGTTCCAGGGCCAAAGGTCAGTTTGGTTTCACTTTGAAATATTTAATGTGCCTCTGAGAACTCAGTGTTTAGCATTTTCTTTAAAGGCATCCTTTGTTTCGGGATGTTAAACAGAACCAGAAAAATCGATTTCATTGTGATTGAACATGTATTCCAAGTGATTTAGATGCATGCCATTTACTTTTACTGCATAGTCCAGTCAAAGTTAATTCAACAAACAGAGAAGTTTCATATTAATCATCAAAAACTGCCACTATGTGAATATTACTTATATAGTCATAGTCAATGGTGATTAAAGTGCTTTGGGTATAACAAAAACAATACAAGTATAACAAAATTCTGATTTCTGACTATATGGGTGGAGAGGCAACTTTAAACAGATTTCATTATTTAAAGTAGAAATTTCAAAATTCTATATGGTTTGCAATTGTGTCTAAGACAGACAAAGAAGGAAGGAAGGTCCTTCAAAATCAGACTTTGCAGTGCAACACAATTGATTTTCTATATTTTTATTAGCAAATTAAAAACCTGTGCTTAATAATATTCTGCTTATATGATACGATCATACATATAGATAAGACCTAAGAGTTGATAATAAAATGTGTGTCTATATACATATTTTAAATAAATAAAAATAAATAAATAAGATGTTTTGGCATTATATTACGAACAAAACTGTAGTGAAAAAATAATTTGTTAATTGTGCTAGTAGCTTCTAGTGCTGCATGGATACTTCCATGCAATCTTCTTGACAACAATATGGAAGTGGTCTGTAATTACTTTCTTCCAGGATGATTTCCAATTCCCAAGTCATCTGATAGACTTGGAATTAATGGTGACCTCCTATGTAACTACTAAACAAATCCAACCCTGTCTAGATGTTTTGTTGCTGTTATAATTGTTGTTGTTAAGATTAGCCAAAGTAAATCTTTGGGGATGTAATAGGTACAGTGCTTTCTGAAGGATTTCCCCCTTTCATCAGAATGGCACGAGTTCCTCTCATTTTGTACATGAATATGATGTCACAACCTGTGAACACAAGGAACAGAGCTTGCATTGTATCAACACAATGCTGTTTTCAGCATTTGTTCCCTTTGACCCCATCAAGCCAAATGCTTTTGACTAGGTGTCAAATTCTGTGGGCTTCAATGAATTCTCCCCAGTGTTTTACCAGGAAAATCAGATTGAAGGACTATTTTAATTTTAAAGGGAATATGAACAGAAAATGGAGACTTAACAAATATGATTTCATACAGCATAGCTAAACATTTTACAAATACTTCACAGTGTCTTTTTATTTGATTTCAACTATTTGTGACATTTGTTTCTATAATTGCGGATAACTGTGTATATAAGTTTCTTGATTCGAGTACATTCAGAAATTCTATTGATATTTTTATTAAATCTTTTGCATGATCTGGAAGAAGGCCACTCTTGTTTAAGAACATAACTTAGTGATAAGAAAGAGCACTAAATTATTGGTTTGGAAGTTGCCAGAGGTGAATTCTCATTTATAAGGCACTGTAGGAAGGAAAATGATTGAATCAAACAAATATTTTCAGGTTACAAGTTGTATATCTGACACTTTCACTTAGAAGTCATAGGATGTTTTTCAGGGAGTTGAGGAAATAATATTCCCTAGAACATGCACAAAACACATTTAGATTTTCTTCTACTAATCCTCTTGTGTTAAATCATCATAACATGCATGATTACTTAACTCTTATATATACATTTGTCTCTATAGTGTAACTTTATAATACCAACTGTTTTAATATGCATAGTTTCTACTACATATTTACTTCCTGTAGACAAAACTAATTCTTCATATTTCTCTTTTTTACTTTTTCTGTCTCGACTCCATTTTGTATGTCTTCCAACATGCAGGGGAGGTCAGGTGAATCTGGAACTAGAGGCCCTAAAGGGTCAAAGGTCAGTTATTAGCAACATCTGGTTTTATTGGTTAAATACACTAAACCAACACAGTTATTTGTTTACTGCCATGTTTACATGTGTGAATTCTATATGTGGATGGGGTAGTAGGTATGGTAATAGCACGTCATTATCTGTTTCTTTTAGTAGAATGTTCAAAGACTATCAATTTAAAAAGTAGTAAAATTATTTTCAGTAACTGAGAAGATGAGATGTATATAGTCCTTAGCTTTTCCTAGTAAAAGTTTTCATTCCCCGGTTAATCCCCGCTTCCCTTTCTGTTCTTTGCTATATAAGGTCCTCTTTTTTTCCTCAATTCGTTGATTAGTACCACATTTTAGTGTAGTATTTAGGTTCACACTTAAATTAAATAAGACATTACGTACTATTTGACATTAGACATTAAGCTAGCAGTTAGAGGCATAGCATGCTCTGAATGAAAAATGAAAATGTTAGAAGTATGGAATATTGTAACGGAATCTTTTTTGACCTGAGGCAATTTTTGATAATTCTGAGGCAATGTATTTCAGGAAGCCAGGGTTCTGTTCCCCCAAAAGATGTTTCTAGTACCATTAGATAAAGGACAGCTTTCTCTGATTTGAATTTCAAACCTGGGAAGGTTTCCATTGTGCTTGGAAATAACTGGCTGTTGGGATTTTTCTAAAAGAGATGAAAAATACTTATTTTTAATAATTATATATGGTCAATTAGTAAACTTTTGAGGTGATTTTTGAATTTATCTCCATATATAATGCATTGCAAACAGGGGTTGGTTATGGCTTCTTCTACTGCCTGTTTGTTCAGGGATGCGTTTCGGGTGCACAAACGCTTTGGGCATGCACACGCTTAATGCGCATATGCGCAGTAGGTAAAAAATGCTTATGCACAGAAGCAAAAAAGATGGTGGTGCCTATGGTGGCGCCGATAGAACTGGTTTGGAGGCGTGGCCGGCTGAGTTACTACCTACTCAGTCAAACCAGTCCAAGTCAGGAGGAACCTACCTTTGATTGCAAAAGTCAGTTTCATCATAAGCATGGAAATTCAGTTTTGTCTGGAAATGTGTATAATAAATCAGAACCTGGTGACTGTAGACTTATGTTATTACAATGAACAGTTTTCTGAATTGGCCTTGCTCTGTCAAACTGATGGTTGAAACTTTCTTGACAGGAAAGTATACAAAGAACTTCTTTTGGGTGTGGGTTTGGGGGGAATTTGCCTTCTGATGCCTTCTGGATGCATGGAATTTTAATTTTTAGCCAACAATCCAGACTACAGTTGGTTGTGAATTCTAAGTATTGTAGACAAACATGGAAGGAAATGCTTTGACATATTCATTAACTCTAACCCTAACTTTTAGCGCTTCTGACATTTTAATTGTTATGAGTGTAAGCAATGTTTATTGTTAAATAAGAACATAGATTAACATAAAATAACAGGGTTGGAAGGGGGCTTAGAGGACTTTTTCTCCAACTCCTGCTCAAACAGAAGTCCTCATTCCATCCTATACAAATGTTGTCCAATCTCTTCTCGAAAACTGCCAATGATGAAGCACCCACAACTTCTGGAGGCAATTCCACTGATTAATTATTCTCACTGTCAGAAAATTTATCCTTCATTTCGGGTTGGGTTTCTCTTTAATGATCTTCCACCAGTGGCTTCTTGTCCTGCCCTCAAGTGCTTTGGAGAATAGATGGGTTTCCTCTTTTCTGTGATAGCCCCTCAAACACTAGAAAACAGCTATCATATCATCCCTAGTCCTTCTCTTTCTTAAGGGAATGTGATGACTCACCAATTAAAGACACTGAACCAAATGATGGGATGAGCTCTTGTTATTTGCCCTACCTCCTGCTAACCTCCTGCAATTCAAAAGCATGCAAATGCAAGTAGATAAATAGGCACCTCTTTGGTAGGAAGGTAATATTCTGTGTACCTCAGCATATAGTTATGCTGGCCACATGACCATGGAAGTGTCTTCAGACAACACTGGCTCCCTCAGCTAAGAAAGGGAGATGAGTACCACCCCCTAGAGTTGAACACAACTGGATATGGGAAACCGTTACCTTTTCTCTTCATTAGACTAGGCAGATCTAGTTTCTACAACTTTAGCTCATATGAGCCTCTAGATCTCTTATCATCTTTGCTGCTCTTCTCTATTTCCTTCCTTCCTTCCTTCCTTCCTTCCTTCCTTCCTTCCTTCCTTCCTTCCTTCCTTCTCTGACTGCCCACAAATCAAGTAATTTATCTTGATTGAAGGAGAGACTTGAATCTGATTTTCACAAGAGTAATTTTTATGCACACTATTATAAAATAAGATTAATATGACTCTTCTTTTCCAATATAGTTGGGAATCTTTTAAATGTAGTTTATGCCTATACAAGTCAGAATTTTTTTTATTTGGAAATGATCCCAAACACAACAACCGTTGCTTAATAACACAGTTAAAAAAAATTCAGCAGAAACCAAATTTTCTTCATATTTTATTATTGTGAGCTTCATTGTTCTCTTGGAAGTAGTTTAATTTCCTTTTATGGAGACCTTGACTCTTGCTTTGTTCTGATACTTAAAGCCAACATTTTTGCTATAAATTCCAAGTAAAATATAAGAAGAAACTCCATGGTGTATAAGATTATAGTCTGTCCAGCCCAGCGAATTTTGATTTAAAAGGCTAAAGATTCTGAGAAACTTTGGATATTTTACAGTACTCTATATCCTATAGCAGGGTTAATTTAATTCTTCATCTTTTATGTCTATTGAAGTCAGTGCCTTTGCAGATAGGAGTGTCTGTGCACATGCAAAATACTGAAATATTTTTTGCTATTACACCTTATTAATTAATTTGTTGTATTATTATTTGTTTAAAATACTAACATAATTTGGGTGAAATTCTATTTATGTATTTGAAATTTGTTCCCCATCTCAAATATTGCAGTCATGTCATCTTCAGAGCTTCATTGAGAATGTATAGGCAAGAAAGATGCCATGTTGATAACAAGACAGTTATCTCCTCATGCCAATCTCTTGTAATTATTGCACAATGATCAAATGTATTCGCAATTTATTGAAAATGGGAGCTATTCCCCTGTTTTGTTTAGAAGGAGTGAGGGAGTGAGAGGCCTTTTGGTTACTCCCTGGAGCAAAACAGTTACTAAATTATTACCATACTTTGTATTCTTTATTGATTAAGCTGTTGCTGGGACATATTCCCAGAATTTTCTCAGTGCTTTCATCTTGGAAAGAATGGAGATAATTGTGGCACCCACTTCAAAATTCTGTGGAGGAATTGAAAGATTTTGGTGACTTCAATTTTTTACTGTAAGAACAAACTTAAAATATTGATGCTTATTCTTTTTTCCCCCTAGGGTGATCCAGGAAATAATGGTGATTTGGGAGTAATGGGACCAAGGGTAAGTGAGTTAAGATATGTTCCTTAATTGACAGTATAAAAATGGCTCCCTTGAGGCAAAGAGATACAATTATTATTTTAAGGTTTGATTATATAATTTATATCAGTGTTTCTCAATGTTACCAATGTGTGTATTTCAGCTCCCAGAATTCCTCAGCCTTTATACTTTTCTTTATACACTGCTGGCTGGGGAATTCTGGGAATTAAAGTTCAGTCATCTGCCAACATGGAGAAACGCAAGAAATGATCTAGAATTAGCAATAGCAATAGCAATAGCAGTTAGACTTATATAC